TTGTTCGTGTTGTAGGAAGCACGGGTAAGGCACCGGCTCCCTGAAACTTGATGCTGGGCATGCATAGAGGGTGTAGCAGCGGAATGTGAGCAAGTGGGTTGTGGACGCATCATGTGTTTTGGAAACGCTGCTGAACTTTATATGTAAAATAAAATAGTGTTTTATGTATTTTGATGACTAATATAACATAATGTTGTCAGAATGCTACAGCATTTTGACAATGACTAATGTACAGAATGCTGTTAGAATGCTACAGCATTTTAAGAATAGTTGAAAACAGAAGACTAGCTAAATGCTACAGCATTTAGACGTACATGGTAAGAATAAAAAAAAATTGGCCTGAATTTTAACAGGTTATAATTAGTAAGTGTTAGAGGTTAAGTAATGTTAAATATGAGTATAGGATGACGATCAAAAGTTAGGGTCGTCACAGTTGGTATCAGAGCGACGGTTCTACCACCCACCCACATTCTGCTGAGCATCTGACTCTACATTGTCCAAGTAAGTTATTCATTTTTTTGAATTTAGAATTCAGTGTGTGAATTTTGTCCTTATAGCATATACGATATGGTACGAACAAGGCGAACTCGGATGATACCCAGAAGGTTGTATAGAAGAAGTATCCGGGGTCCAGGAAGGAGAAGACGTCCGCATAGTCTACCTTCGGTACAAGAAGTGGAACCTATTCCTATAGAGGTACCCCTACAACCCTTACAGCCTATTAGAGTAGCTGAGCCACCCCCGATTGATAGGGAAGTGTAAGTAGCAATGATTAGAGACCCAATAGGATCTAGGGTCGCCGTAAGAGCTGTTTTTGCACTTTATTAGTGTAATCCACCTATGTATGACGGTCAGGCTCACCCAACCAAATTACAGGACTCGCTACACCGAATTGAATATTTGATGGTAGCCTGTGATATTGATGAGAGTGATTGGGTGATTCTAGCTGCCAGCCTATTAGAGTCTGACGCTAGGCAGTTTTGGAGAGGTGCGGTGGAAACAAGGAATGCGCATGAGGTGCCATGGGGCAATTTTTGTAGTTTACTGCTAGCTCAATTTCCACCGAGAGAGGTACCTGTAAGGATGGCACCAGAGGTTGCCTCTACCTCACAGGCTCAACCACATACTGGGGAAACCGAATTTAAGAAAATGGAGAAGTATATACACAAGGTCGATAAATTTAAGATGCGACCTTATGATACTGTGGCAATCTATTCTGATCGGTTCTTTAGTGAGATTATGACTGATCCCACTATTAAGTTAAAAGAACAGGATGCATTTTCATATTATAGAGGGGGTTAACAGAAGAGTTACAAACTATGGTATTTCCACAATGGGAAGTTACATATACCCTCACCCAGTTTGTAGAGGAAGTAACGAAATTAGAAGAAACCATGGCTATAGAACGAGAGGAGCAGGAACGACGCGTTAGTGAGCGTCGAATGGAGTTTGAACGTAGGCAGAGAGAATACCTATGTAGAAATAGATCAGTGGAGGTGTGTTCTGGAGTAGAAATTGGAACAACATCATCACCCCAACAACAGGGACAAGCAAATGTGGATTCCCAAAACACCGCAAATACAAGTGAGGAAGAAGATCCGGTGGAGGATTTTTGGGAGGCCACTAGGAATTAAGCTGATGTACAATATGATGTAACGTTTTGATGATGATGTTACATTTTGGCAATGTAAAAAAAAATGTACTGTGGATGTATAAGATAATCATTCTTGTCTTGTGTAAGTAATGAATGATGAATGTATATGTATGTTTGAGCGGATATGTGTATGTATGTGTATACAGGTATACAAATGAATCAAATATAGAAAAAAAAAATGTTGTTACCTAGGAATGCATTTTTTTTTAAATGATAAGTGTGGTTAAAATATTGCTAGAATGCCACCACATTTAATAAAAGTTGTATTATTTTTAAAACAACTTTATGTTATGAAATGATGTTATGATTTATTTAGATTTATACATATACACATATTTGGAAATTTAACCATGTTTACCATTATTCCTCTTATGTAGACACACGGAAACATGGTTCGTCCACGTAGAGAACGATTGGTCCAAGAACTAGGAGGGGATTTAGCTGCCACCATAGCTAATTTGCAAGCCAGACTTGAGGCTCAAGAGCATGAAAATAGAAATTTACGGGCACAGTTAGAGCAACGAAACTAGGAACAGGAGCGAAAAAGAGCGTCACCTGTTCAACCGGCACTGCAAATGTTACATCATTCTTATAATATTTTAAAAAAATACTACAGCATTTTAGGTAACATTTCAAAAAAAAATCTCTTAGATTTTAAAAGTTTCAAAAGTTATAAGTTAAAAGTTAATACTAGTGACGATCAACTCAGCAAAATCGTCACGAAATGTCCATCATTTATCATTTATCCTCATTAAATAGGATAAGGATGAGTCAGAATCTTCTCCACTTTAGAAAAGCTGGGAGTCGAACAAGCACGTGTAGATGGTAAAGTTAACGTGGGTCCACGTAAAATGCTGCTATGTTTTAGCTACTAATTAAGGAGGCAATTAGGATGAAGAAAACTATTTTCTCTACTGACGGGATTTGTATTTTGACACATGTATTATGAGTACTTTTAAGTTACACGCTCTAAATTTTTAATGAAGATACAGGTAGATCTAATAATTAAAAAATTAATCTAATAATTAAAAAATTAATCTAATAATTAAAATCCACCGTTTCTAACGTAATAAAAATACACTCCATGCCACAAAAATTCCTCTAATGTGGCTTTTCTTTCTCTCTCTCTCTGTTTTTTTTTTTTTTTTTTTTTTTTTTTTTTTTTTTCCCCACAAACCTTTTTTTTTCTTTTCTTTGTTCTTTTCCATCTCTTCCAAATCATAGCCTTGACTTGCCATTCCCATTTCTTATCAGATCAACCAAAAAAAAAAAAAAAACGAAAGAAGAAAGCCTGATTGCTTGATCGGAAGCGAAGTGTTAATTAGGAGGACATACAGAAATGGACTTGATCACCGGGAGTGCTCTAACGACTTCTGTTGCCATCGACAAGCTGGTATCGCTGCTGATCACCACCGGAGAAGACACCAAGCTGCTGAAAGCAATCGAGTTATCAGAAGTTCAAGAACTCAGGACCATATTGGAGCTACTCGATTCCATCCTCAAAGACGCCTACGTTAAGTCACAGAAAGCGGTTCCGGTGAGCAGCTGGTTAGAACAGATAAAGGAGGTCACCGATCTCATCGACAATGTCGTCGATGGCTACATGCTCAAAGTGTCGCAGCGGCTCCAACAGCGTCCGTTGATCCGTCGCACGACGCCAAATAGTAGTACTCGTCGGAACTTATCTTCCGATGTCGAAAATGTCAAGGCGTTGTTGATTAAGATACAAGAAACTGGTTGGAGACATTACTCTTGGGAGTATGGATTCAGTAGTAGGAGAAAGAATTTTCAGAGATATCAACCTCGGTCGGTCTTCCCTTTGATCCAGGAGTTCATAGTCGGCGTTGATTGTACGGAAAATGAGTTGGTACGGAGACTAACAGAAGGAGAAACCAGGCGCTCAGTCATTTCGCTTGTAGGCTGCGGGGGAATTGGTAAGACCACTCTTGCGAAGATGGTCTATCACAACGAAGTTGTGAGGAAGCACTTCAATTGTCGCGCTTGGATCACCATCAACCGGACGTATAGTATGAAGGAGATACTGAAGGTCATGTTGATAAAGGAGATTGGCATAGAAGGGAAGCAATTTGAAGAGATTGAGTTGATGAAGAGACAAGAGCTAATTGGAATTCTGAGGCAATCTTTGAGGTCAAAAAGGTATGTGGTTGTGTTTGATGATGTTTGGAGAGAAGAGTATTGGAATGTTATGAGAGATGCTTTGCCCGATGATGACAATGGCAGTAGAGTAATTATCACATCGCGTAGCGATATTGTTGTTGCTTCATGTGTAGAAAGCTTGTTCGATCATGTCCACAGGCTAGAGCCTCTTTCAGAAGCAATGTCTTGGGACCTTTTCTGTAGAATAGCCTTCCAATATGACCCCGAACGGCGTTGTCCTCCGGAGTTGGAGAAAATTTCCTTTGAAATTATTAGGATCTGTGAAGGTCTTCCCCTTACATTGTAGCCATGGCTAGTTTAATGTTGACGAAGGACAAGGAAGCGTTAGAATGGCAGAAACTACTCGAAAACTTCTATTCTCAGCTTGAGTCCAATCCCCATCTTGGAAATGTTTGTCAAATCCTTGCTCTTAGTTTCGATGATCTGCCTTGCCTATTAAAACCATGTTTCTTGTATTTTAGCATCTTTCCGAAAGACTCTTTGATTCCTAATGACAAACTGTTCAAGTTGTGGATTGCTGAAGGTTATATACAAGAAAAGGGTGGGAAGACATTAGAAGAAGTTGCTGAAGAATACATGAATGAGCTCGTTCGCAGAAACCTGGTTCAAGCATGTGAAGGGTTTTATTGTCTAGAGAAATTTTGCCGAGTCCATAGCTTGATGCATGACATTGCCCGTAAAAAGGCCGAAGAATTTAGTTTCTGTCAGATTCAGGAAGACGTGAACTCCAATTCTAGAGGAAAAGTTCGTCGACTATTAATTTCTGATATTGTGGTAGAGAATGCTCTGGAGATATTTGAAGACTCTCAGCTTCGTTCTGTTTTTCTGCGCAACATTGCGGCACTTAGCAACTCGTCTTTGGTTACCTTGTTTGGAAAATATAAGCTTTTGACATTGTTGGATTTTGAAAATACTCCACTTGAACGTCTCCCAAATGAAGTGGGGAATTTGATATATCGGAAGTACTTGAGTTTAAAGAATACACAAGTGAAGATGCTTCCGAGGTCTGTAGGCAAGCTTTGCAATCTACAGACGTTGGATATTAGAAACACATTATTGATTGAGCTGCCAATAGAGATCAATAAGCTTCAAAATCTTCGCCACCTTTTAGCTAGTGGTCATGACAAAAAGGTTAGATTGGATTCAACCCGAGGTGTGAGGATAAAGGAAGGAATTGGTTTCTTAGAGAACTTGCAGACATTAATGACTGTGGAAGCTCATCATGTGGTATTGTTCCCATAAAAGAGCTAGAGAAGTTGAGGCGATTAAGAAGGTTGGGCATTTCAAGTTTGTCTCCAGAATACACGAGTGCTCTATGTTCCTGTCTTGAGAAGATGAGCAAACTTGAATCTCTAAGTGTATACTCCATGAATAATTATGAAATTCTGAATTTGCAAACCATTTCATCTCCACCACTTCTTTTAGAACGCCTGATTCTGAAGGGTCGATTACAGACGTTACCTAGTTGGATTTCCAGTCTTCAAAATCTAAGCATGCTGTGCTTAAGTCTCTCAAGATTAATCGATGAGCCGCTAAGATCTTTTGTAGTTTGCCGAATCTGGTGTCACTTTGGCTTTATCAGGCATATGATGGTGACAAACTGCATTTTGAGGAAGGTGCTTTTAAAAAACTCAAGCTGCTTGTTCTCAGAGAATTGCATGGACTAAAGGTACTGGAAATAGATGAAGGTGCCTTGCCCCTTCTCGAAGAGTTGAGAATTGGTCCTAGCCCGCTTCTAAAGGAGGTGCCCTTTGGAATTCAACACTTGAGAAATCTCAAAGTTCTTGCAAATTACAGCATGCCAAGTGAATTTGTTCTTAGTATGCAACCAGATGGGGGGTCGGATTATAGGAAGGTTGAGCATGTACCATCTGTCCTTTTCTGGTACAGAGTTCAGGAAAGAAGCTATATTTCGTACAAGCTTGGAGAGCCGGCCTTGTTGGAACATTTGCAAGGTTTAGCCACAATTGTAGATGTCTTTCCCCAGTACGACCATCGTTGGAGCTTCTGTTACAGTGATGCTGAAGAAGACGTGGCCTCAGTCTCAACCTCAACTGCAATTGGCCCATGGAATGACTGTCGGATGAGTTTCTCCAGCGATCGGTTTAGTTTCTTCAGTGATGATATTGAGGACTGATTTCACAACTTCAGGTTTGTTCTATGGTTCTATTTAAGAACGAGGCTTTGGTACTTTCATTCGTATTCTATTTATACTTCCAATCTAAAAAACCTTGATCATTATGGCAGGTTGGTCACAAGTGTGGGTGGATGCTTATCACATTCTGTGAGACTCTTTTGAAATCAAACTTAATTGATCAATGGAAAGTCATTTTCCGAAATCAATCATCCAGTCAAGTTTGCCATTCTAATTATCATTTGAATAAGGTAAAAAGCTTGCTGCTCATTCTTGTTGACAACACTAGTGTCGCATCAGTGGAAATACAAATGTTGATGGGACTTGGACTAATGAAGCATACAATGTTGGCCTAACATATCTTCTTTTTCATTTATGGTTTCTCCTTGTAACTTGTCTGTAACTTAGGTCCCGAGTGTTGACGTTGTTAATTTTGCGTATGCTTGGAAGAGTTGTCTTGAAATTCTGTTACTTCCCAAGTAGTTGACGGCAATTATGGTTGAAACTCTCAATTTATTTTTTAGAAAACTTTTCAGGCGACAAAAATGTGGAAGGGTTAATTGCATATCAGCACTTCTAAATCATGTCCCTTTGTGTAAATCAATTAATGTTTATAAAACATTGTGAATTTTGCTTTTCATTTTCTAGGAAGAGTACAGAAGCATGTTAAAGATTCCTGTATCCCCATAACTTGTTTGGTGGTTTTGGCTTTCACAGAATTATGTCCTTTTTGTTTATATATGGCCATTGGCAAGAGATGCAAATATAAACACAATTTCTGCCCAAATAAAATGGTGGAAGATGTGGGAATTTTAAGTGACAGGATCTAGTTAAAACAGGACAAGTTCCACCATAAATAACTTGACCTTGTAGGTAAATTATTCCATACTTGAAAATCTTAAACTACTTGGCGAATCTGAACATATTACACTTATGCGACGCCTAGCAAGGAAAGAAGGTCTTGCATTATTCTATTGGAATATGTCTTTCAATACACTCGGCGAATATATTTTCCTTCTTTTGGAAGAACCAAATGTTTAGTTATAGCTAAAATGTAATTACATTGATTATAAACTTAACCTCTCATATTAATCACCATCATTGGGTTACGAAATCAGTGCCTCAGAAGAAATGACGAAGGCTATCTGCCAGTAATAAGGTCGTAGCCGAAATTCAGTAACACGGTAGGCTACCTGCTTTGTGACGGGAGGCGCTATCTCCAGTGACATGACTGAAGTCAGACTACTACTAATGCTTAAGTTGGGTTAGCGACGGTAATCTAATTGATGACGATTATTGTTATTACATGGGTATGATGGGAATGACAACCTTTGTTTGCATTGGCATTGAGTGCCAAAAAAAAAAAAAAAAAAAATTTGTGATTAGAAAGTCAATAATTGGATCTCAAAGTTGCAAAAGGAAAAGGGTTAATCATTTATATTACACAACACGATAAAGTATTTCATGGATACAACTGTTTTTTATTTTTTTCTAGTGCCACTGTCATGTCAATAATTACCTTATTATTGTGATTACTAACAGTTATTATGAAGTTAGTTACTGGAATAATTATGTTTCTGACAAAAAAAAATTCAAAACTAGTGATATTCATGATGTACTTTATTTTTTGGATTAATTACAAAAATTCTCCCAAACTATGACCTTTATAACACTTTACCCTTCAAACTTTCATTTGTAACATCCATTTTTCTTGATCTTTACTCGTAACAAATTTGTCCCTTCTATTATTTTGAGTGACAGAAATAACACGTGTCATTTGTTTAGTTATTGTTAATGAGATAATGAGTATGTAGTTACTCTTTTTCCCCATAATCAGATGAATTTGTGGTTTCCATTTTCGTTTTAATTCCATTAGGTCCCTCTTTCATTTTTGCATTGTTCTGAAGGTTTCCACTTTCCATCCATGGATGCCGGTTGTGTTGGCTACTGGAATGTGTAGCATTAGTGGTGGATAACTTGAAAAATTAACCTCAAAATAACTCACAAACTACAAGCTTTTTCACCACTAGACGTAGAGCTACTTGTGGAGAGCAAGAATCTTTTATCATTTTTCAACCAAAATTGAGATGGGGTAAGAGATTTAGACTACAAATCAGATTTGTTCTCCATTTATACTTAATTTTATTGGACGTTCTTCTCGTAATTTCTGAAATTGTAATGAATATTTTAAGAAAACATGTTGTATTTCTATAAGTTCCATAGCTTATACAATCTTGCTCAGTTGTGAAATACTAGCAAAAGTACAACAGAAGCAAAGCAGTACGACCGTCGATTGGATGCTCTTTTCATTGAAGAAGACGAAGTTGTGGGCACTGATTCAACACGAGAGTACTTGGTAAACTCGTTGGTTGACGGAGAATCTTCAAGGAAGGTGATTTCATTGGTTAGTGAAGGCGGCATCGGAAGACTACTCTTGCTAACAAAATCTGTGAAAATGAAATGGTAAAAATGACGGAGAATCTTAGATCACAGTATCTCAATCATACAACATGAAGAAGCTTCTGCAAGATATGACAAAGCAGATTTGCATAGATGTAGAAGGCACCAAGGGAGAAACAAGCGACACCGAAGGACTAATCAAATCATTAAGGGAATATTTGAAGACGCGGAGGTAGCCACCCAACTAGCATATCTTTTAGCTAAATTTGGTTATACAATGCCACTAAGCTACACATTATTAAAGTCTCGTATAATTGGAAAAACATCGTAAAATTAAGATTGTTGTATGATAAGATATTAGCATAAAATATTTATAAAACTTCTCATCATATAGCAGTTTAACAAAAATATGAAGAGTTAGGCAATTACAACCATCTTTATACAAAAATAGAATAGTGAAGCCCGTAATATTGTAAAAAATGATTGTGAGTTTGGCAATTACAACCATCTTTAACTTATTGTAATATGGCGTTGTGAACTCCCCACCAGTTTTCTTAAAACCTAATTTATTTCAAATTGTGAGGTTTGTTTGGAGAATTTTTAAATGTTTTATTGTAAAAAATGATTTTTATATCTTTCTGTGATTAATTATTTTATAATCAAGTTTAAAATCCTAAACAAATCTCAACGTCACTAACTCTTATTTTGAGGCGTGACAAAGTCGTCCTCCTCCCAGCCGATCTTAGTCAAAGAAAAGGAAGAGAGAAGCTATTACTGAGGATTTCCATCTTCCTGTTGACGTCTGCCTCCAGCTGGACCCTACGTCTGCATACCATGTTGGTGCCGGTGTCTTGACTGAGGGAGATAAAGAATTTCTTTTGGGGCATGGTGTGAAGTCTGTTGCTGAGTCTATGCTGTTGGTTTTATTCAGGTAGAAATATTTTATGTCTTGTTGATTGATAAGTGCATAAAAATGCACATTGAATATGGCTAATTCAAAATAAATGATTTGTCACGCCCCCCCAAACGGGGTGGGTGATGTGGAGCTCGATTAGGGGTTAATAAAGCAGATTCTCAGACGAGCCCCACTTAATTGCATTAAAATATAAATAAATTACAGAATCCCGGAGCCTCTGACACACAGGGCTCCACCCCACAGGACATACAGTATCGTACATACATGCTCATGTAAATAATCATTACAACAGACATCAACCACAGTCTAGTTAATCTAAGTATTACATAAGTTTACAGAATTCTCAAATTCCTTACATTTATTCAAGAGGATGAACTCAATTCTCACTTGATCCAACAGTAGCAATCTCCTGCTACCCCGCACCGCTCCTAGAGTCTCCTGGGAGGGGTTTAATACATTTGAAACATAAAACGTGAGTGAAAGGCCCAGTAGGATATAATTTCAAATGACTTAAAATAAATGAATAAATAAATGAGCAAGTAAATAAATGAATGAATAAGTAAATAAAATTAGACATTCAGTCCTGACAGAACAGCCGGAACCTCACATCCTTTTTCTCAAAGGAAATATAACTGAAAATAACAGTTTTACAGGCTTCAGCAAGTAATTAGTACAAATTACTTACCTAACCAAGTGCCTCGCCTACCCGGACCGAGTTTCGGGTTCTGCCCCCGAGGATGCACTCTCCGCATCCTATCTAGGCTTACAGCAATAGACTTGATTAGTGCATGAAAATGCACCATAAATATTGCTTTTGATTTATATAATATTAAAATATTTAAGCTTTAATTAAACAAATCCATTATTTTTATTCATAATATTTTTAATTGGAATTTGTCTAGTTTTTGCTTAATTATTTGCAGATAAAAAGCAGTGAAAAAAGCTACACAAAAATAAGCCATGAAAGCCATGTTTTCAACTACCCGGAGCCAAGCCGCGTAAGCCGAGCCGCACAAGCCAAAAAGAGAGAAGAGCCGCGTGAGCCGAAGCCATAAGCCGATTTTCCCGTA